TTGTTTAGCATCTTAGCTGTGGAGGGCAGTGTCACTGGCCCTCATATGTGGGATCCGAACCGGGGCCTTCTGGCGTCCCAAGCCAGTTCTTAACCATCGCGCCACTCAGCCGGCCCTCAACATTTTAAAATAAGGAGATCATTTGTCAAAACCCAGTTTGCCTGGATAAAACAAACAGGCTGGCATCTATGAGCCTGAATTCTGCTGGTCAGCATCTGTAGAAGCTGGACTCCAGCCTAGGGTGGAAGACGCTGGGTTCTCATCGAAGCTATCCGCCTGGTCCCTGGCTCCTGCATTACTCCTCAGCACACGGGTTTTGCTATTGTCACCACTCTGAGGAGTGGGGTGACCGAAGCCTTCATCGCTGGCAGGATGAGTCCCTGGAACACTCCTTTAACAGAGAGCCAGGACTGCTTTGGTCAATCAGAAAAAAGGAATGTGAACTGCTGAAAAACCTCAGGGCCTTTGCACAGGCCACTCCTTCTGCTGGAACTCTCCCCCATCTTCTTGTGACTCACATATGGACCTCAGAGATTTCTTCCCTGACCATGCAGCTAAAATCACCCCCGCCTCCCGGCACTTTACTTTTTTCTCTTCAGGGCTCTTATTGCTCCCTGATACTGGTCACATGTTAATATATCACCTGTCCCCCTCCCTAGAATGTGAGCTGCCTTCCATTCTAGGGCAGTGGATCTCACCCGGGGTGAGACTGCCCCCAGGGAAAACTAGGCCATGTCTGGGGACATCTGTGTTTGTGATGACTGGGGTGCTCCTCCTGCATCAGCTGTGTGGGGGCCAGGGAGGCTGCTCAACACCCCTCAGTGTCCAGATGGCCCCCACAGAGAACGACCTGGCCTCCACATCCACAGTGCCCAGGGGGAGACCCTGCTGTAGAGACCAGGTTGTAGGGCCCGAGTGGTTGGGCCTGAACTAGCTCAGAGGGGACCCAGCCAGTCCCTTGAGGGAGAGGGCCTGCCAACTGTGGTGGCCAAATGAGGTTCCTCAGCCATGCCTCCCCTGCACCCAAAAATCAGGGTCTCTGGACTGCCCACCTGCCCAGCTGGTCTTCTCCTGCCAGGCTGGGCACACAGCAATCACTTCGGCCCTTGGCCAGAAAAGTGCAGCCTGCCAGGTCAGCTGCTCTTGCCCCAGGAGCTGTGGAGGCCTGGAAGGTGGCAGGGAGACAGGAGGTGGGGTGTCCCTAACCCAGCCCAATCTGGCTTCAGCACCCCAACAGCCAGGAGAAGAGTTCTAGGGTCTTCACAGAACCACCCACATACCCTGCAGCGACCATCCTTCAGAGTCCCTGCCTCCTCCCCTCCTGCAGGCTGCTCTGGGGTCAGATGGGTCGGTCACTGGCTCTGTCCTGAAGCTGGCGGGCACGAGATGGGACAGGGAGGGTGCACGCCCCTCTTTTCCCAGTGGGGCTGAAGGTCCTGATGGCAGTGCAGGTCTGAAGGCACTATGTGCTGGGAGACACCATCCCATCCCTCGCCTGCTTTTCGGGGATTGAAGATGCAGACAGGCCCAAGAACTGTATCCCGCCTCTCCGCCCTGCTAATAACTTCTCCACAAGAAATGCAAACAGCAGACAACAGAGGCCCGACACGCTGTTATTATGGTTGATTCAATCCTCAAGCCCTGGGCGCCGCCTTTTAATTTTCTCTTTTGTCTCCAGATCGGAGAGGGGAACCCTGTCGACTCCATCCAGCTGCGGCTTGTGCTGTGAGCCCCGACATGGGGCAGGCCATGGAGGGCGGATGGTGGAAGGGCAGGCTGGGTACTCTCTAGAGGGCTGTCCTGGGCACTGTACAGAGCTGAGCAACATCCCTGGCCCCACCCACTCCATCCCAGGAGCACCCCTAGTCCTGACAACAGATGTCCCCAGAAGTCACCCAGTGTCTCCTAAGGGCAGAATCATCTGGATTGAGAACCCAGAGTTTGCAAAGACCTCTGAGAAGGAATCTCTGCTTCCACCAGCCATGTGACATTTCCTTGATGTCAAAAGAGATGGATGAAACCTTTTGTGGCTGACATCTGGTTTTGTGGTGGGGGCTGGTCCAGCACCCCAGGTGGAGACTAATCCACAGTCTTATGCAAGCTAAAGCTCTTGTCACCACATGGCAGTGCTCCTGTATCAGAACTGGTGGGGGCACGGAGCCCCTGAGCTGGCTTCAGAAGGCCCTGGTCTAGCAGCATTTGGCTACCATTGGCCAGGGGACCTTGGGAGTGAGCGTTGCTTCTACAGCCTCTGTCCATTGGGACAACCACTCTTCTTACCCCAACGCGGAGACATTCTGATCCTTGGCCAAAGTGGGTAAAGCTGACCCATACCGGCCAGGAGACACCTGTGGCTGGCTAACATGATGTGGTTCCCAGAATCAGATCCGAGCTGACCCTGCTCCTCCAACCATAGCAGTCAGGAGGGGTGGCCTTGGGGGGCCAGTGGGGCAGTCTGTCTTCCTACAATACCACCTCCCAAACCTCTCAGGGTCTCAGTGTGACTGGGGGGCTTAGAAGATTTGTTGGGGCTGGTGGGACCCTAGAGAAGGGCAGAGGCAGGGCAGGCACCAGCACGCCGGGGACCTGAGGATGTTGGGCCCTGGGGTGGTGATGTCTGAGAGATGGGCAGAGAGGGCACTAGGGTCTCTCCCTCCTCACTGGAGCGGCGGTGCCCTTTCTGGGCCTGTTGGTCTGGAAGCTGGCTCAGAGGTGATCAACACGGCTTTGGAGGCTTCAGTGGGGGGGACACAGGAGGGGAGGGTGGGAACTGGTGGAGGGACAGGCAGTGGTGTCCCCAAGACCACCCCAAGGAGCTGATGGCTGGGAAGAGGGCGAGGACCCTGCTGTGTGCTTTTGGTGATGGGGTAAGGGGTATGGAGCTAGGGACACCTGAAGCAGATTGCTGTCCCCACAAGGATTTGGGGGGACAGGGGCACCTGAGTTTTCCTGTATGGGAGGCCCTGATGCCTCCACCCCATACCCTGCCCAGCCCTATCCCCCAAACTGAAGGCAGACTCGAATCTGGTGGCTCCACGGTGACCTGCCCACCCCAGGCCAAAGGCCAACCTTCATTCCTGGAGGGGTGAAGTGGGGCCAGGTGGAGGCCGCAGCACCAAGTATAGCACTTGGAAGAGAGCATGCTGTTCCCACACCCATGGGGTCATTTCCTGACTCAGCTAGGCCATGCGGGATTCAGAGATGGGTCCCTGGGAACAGGTTCAGACAGAAGTTTCTACAATGGGCCCAATACTTCCAACAGTGCCGGGGTGAGGACGACACAGTGGAAGTCCCCCAGACTCTTGCAACATCAGTGAAGGAGGCTGGGGCCGTGTGCAAGTCGTGCCTTCTTGCACCTCTGGCTGGCGGGCTATGGGGGCAGCAGCAGGCCAGCCCCTGGGGCGCCCACGCTCAGACAAGCAACTAGCTGCTCCTGGAGCTCCCAACCTGGCTACAGTGACAACTGGAGGCCCTGCTGAGCCCAGGGCCACGGGTGAGGGGCCTGTCCTTGTCGGGAAGTCTAAATGGCTCTGCTGCAGCCCTTCCTGACATTGGTGGGCGCAGGAAGGAAATTCAGGGTTACAGAAAGGCGCACACCTGGGCCCTGAGACTCGAAGCTGAGCTGATGTGTCAGAAGGCAGGAATGGCATGAGTAATGAGCAGGCCGAGCAGCCCAGGACAGAGCTGGGAGAAGCTGAGGCTGTGAGAACCCAGCCCAGGCTGCCAGGCCCAAACTCCCTCCAAGGCAGGCCGAGCAAATCCCCCAGGAAAGGCTTACTGAGACTCCCGCTCCCCAGGCATGCCCCAGGTTGCCAGGACGACAGTCCAGGCTAATGAGAGGTTGCCATGGCACCAAGGGTTTGTACCAGCCTGACACTCGGGCTGTTAAGTCTTTGCTCTCCTACACTGTCTGGTACTGGCTTCGTTTGTCTCATGGGGGAAATCACATCAGGTAGCCTCTGCCCCACAGCCTGGTCCATCTTGCTCCAGAGACCCCGGGTGCACATGGGGCTGCAAACCAATGGTCAAGCTGGCCCCTGGCCCTGCCTGCATGTCTCTCAGCCCATGGGTCTCTGTTCCCTTGGGGAACCGACATGCTCACCCTGGTCCAGCGGCCCCAGCCCCCGGGAGGTCAATCTCCCCATGGAGGGGGCAGTATCAGAAGGCAGAGAAAGAGAGGCCAGTCCTGAGGCCCCGGGGACCCCGCCTGTCCCCCTGGAGGCACAGCCTCAGGTGATAGGAGTCACAGAGTCAGCCCGTCTAATTGTCTAAATGAGGAACAGACGCTCCATGCTAGTGGCCTCTTCTGTTAGCAACAGAGCCAGCTGGGGGCAGACAACAGAGGTCTTGGAGCCTCCAACAGCTCCTGTCCTGTTCCACATTTGGGGTGCATGAGGAGAGTACGGTCTCGGCCTGATCCCATGCAGTCACCCGGCCCTGCCTCCCGTGTGAGTTGCCAGATCCCCATGCTGATGTTGACATGCCAGACAGCTTTGGTAAATATCTTTAAGGGAAGTGTTTTTACAAGTAGTAGCAGTACCCCGAGATTCAGGGTACAAGATCTGGGGTGTGGCCTGGGCAGCCGGGGGCCTGAGCTCCCCCTTGTGTCTGGCCCGGGGCTCTACGAGGGCTCCGGCAGGGCAGGGCGACCATGATGAGGACAGCAACAGGACGTTCACCACTTGAGGAGGACCATGCTGGCCAGCACGGCATAGCCCAGCACCAAGAAGAGGACTTTGAGCAGGCGGTCATTCTTCTCCTCCAGCTCCTTCCCCAGGATCTCAAAGAAGGTTACGAACAGGAAGGTGCCGCCCGCGAGGCCCTGCAGCAGCACCGAGGCCACGCTGCTGGGCACGCCCTGGGCACTCTCGATGCTCAGGCCGAGGCTGATGCCCAGCGGGATCATGGTGCTCACGGTGATGGCCAGCTTGGCCGAGTCCCTCAGAGGCATGGAACTCCGGGCCATGTTGATGCCCAGGGCCACGGCCACCAGTGTCTCATGGATGGCCATGCCCACGAACAGGCTCACTACCTTCTCCCCGTCCTCTTGCAGGCCCAGGGCCAGGCCCTCAAAGACAGAGTGGGCCGACAGCGCGAAGACCAGGCTAAGGAGACGCAGGGGGCTGGAGTGTGACAGGTCCTGGACACTCAGCCCATGGCTGTGGGTATGGGGCTCCACGTAGAGCGTGTGGCTCCGCGCGGCCCCCATGAAGGGGCTCTCATACTCTGAGTCACTGCCAGCGTCTGAGCCAGCGTTGAAGGTCTCCAGGTCAATGAAGGAAGGCTTCTCCTTGCGGAAGGTCAGAATGAGTTGCTCCAGGAAGACAGTCATAAAGAAGCCCAGCATCACAATGGTCTCCGCCAGTGGGTAGTCCGTGCTGATGTGTCCGAGACTCAGAACTTTCTGTAGCTAGAACGGAGGACATGAGACAGGGAGGGAGAGGGAGAGAGAGGCAAGAGGGGTTCAGAGCTGGGGACCCCTGCCACCAAAGCAACAGGGTTCATCCAACATCACCATTCAATTAGCAAAGCACAGTAATACCCAATTCACACGAGAAGTTAGAAAAGGGAGGGAGCGCAGGCCCATCCTTAATAAACAAAAACCCTATTACTAAGAGTCATAAGGCTTCACGGCAGTGGGCTAGATTGTGGTCCCCAAAGATTTGTCTGCCTGCAACCTCAGACTGTGACCTTATTTGGAAGAAGGGTCTTTGTAGACATAATTAAGGTGTTAAGGCCTGAATTGTGTCCCCCCAAAAATAAAACTCATATATTCAAGACTTCCATCCCCTTGTACCTCAAAACCAACCGTATTCGGAGGTAGGGGTGAGGCCGTTAAAATGAGGCCGTTAGGGTGGTCCCTATTTCTCCAGGACTGTTGTCCTTCTAAGAAGAGGAAGAGATACCAGGACCATTATGTGGACAGGCAGCAGGAGGGTGGACCTCAGAGGGACCTGGCCCTGCCGGCACCTTGATCTGAGACTTCCAGCCTCCAGCACTGATACCGACCAGCCTTTCCAGCCCTCATGTCTGTGTGAGGCTTGCTTCCATATAACCCAGGTGGAGCTCTGCTTCCGGGGTCTTCCCAGCACTCCAACCTCCTAGGTGACACCTCGTTGGCATCCCGCCACCCATCAGATCCCTCGAGCCAACGCAGTCCAATAGAACATTCTGGATGATGGACACGTTCTATCTATGCTGTCTCATACAGAAGCCACTAGCCGTCCGTGGCCCATGAGGACCTGAAACATGGTTGGTGGGGCCGAGGACTGGCATGTTGAAATGTATTTCATTTTAATTCACTAAAACTTGACTAGCTGGGCATGGCTGCCATGCTGGACAGCACAGCTTTGGACGCTGTCCAGCAAAGTGGGCAGTGGGCTCCTCAGAGCCTGAGTTAATTTTCCCTGGACACAGAAGAATGTTTGCACACACTGAGCTCTTTCTAGCCGTGGGACAATGCCGCTGGCTCTGTCCAGGACATTCCTCCTTTGGTTTTACTCATGGCTAGCTGATGCACATGCTTATGTATAATTCCCAAGTACTCTACCTGAACCAGGTGCCCCAGTCTCTGCTCACCGCCCCAATCTCTTCATCACAACCTTCATTACAACCTGTGAACACGTGCGCACACACAGTTCTCAGCCGGGGCGATCCTGCCTTCCAGGGGATAGGTGGTGTCTGGAGGCATTTTGGTTATCATGACTTTGGGGGAAAGTGTTGACACTGGGGCTGGCATTCTCTGTCAGGGCCGTTCTGGACACTGTGGGGTGCTGAATAGCATCCCTGCTCCCACTTACTCAATGCCAGGAGCACCCCCAGTCATGACAACTATAGATGTGCCCAGACATGGCCCAGTGTCCCCTGGGGGCAGAATCACCCTGGATGGGAACCCTGCTGCAGAAGGCTGTGTTTTTGTAGAGAAGCCACTTCATTCATTTGCTAAAGGCCTCATGGAGGCCTGCATGTGCCACACTGGGAAACACCAGCTCTTGAGAGTACTAACTACCCCCAGAGGGAAAAACATGGGTTGGAAAAGACAAGGCAGACACACAAAGGCCACAGCTTGCAGTGGCATTCTCCATGGGGTGACTGGGAGCCGGGCACTGCAGCTGAAGCTGGGTGGGGACTGGGAGGGGGGCCCTGACCTGCTGAGGCATGGAAAGCCTGTGGGCAGGGGTGTGGCACGGGAGTGGTTTTGGGAGGACCCTGAGAGGGACACATGCACTGAAGTGGGGCTGGGAGGAGTAAGGCCATTGCAGCAGGTCAGGCCTGAGGTAGGAGGGTGACAAGGGGTGACACTGTGGGGATGTGGGAAATGGGGAGGGGGAGGAGGCTAGAAATGGCACTGGGAGTGCAGAGGCATCAGAGAGGACTGAGATTTTATCCTTGTTGATGTCAACTGTATAAATGTCCTGTGCTGCTAATGAAGGAGCACAAGCTTAGCAGCATAAAGCAACACAAACGCATCATCTCACAGATCTGAATGTCAGAAATCCAGGCACAGGGTGCAACCTGCAGATAAAGCAAGAGGTCACATTGGGGAGACCCATGTAGCAAGGGACTGAGGGCAGCCCTCAGTCTGACAGCCAGGGGAAGACTGAACCCACCTGACAACCACGTGAGTTAGGAGCTGACCCATCCCTAGCCCAGTTGAACCTTGAGATGAGACCACAGCCCAGTGCACACTCCAACTGCTGCCTCCTGAGAGCCTGGAGCAGAGGACCTAGTTAAGCCGGGCCCAGACCCTTGACCCACAGAAACTGAGATAATTAACGTGCTTTGTCTTAAGGTGCTAAGTTTGTCATCATTTGTTACTCAGCAGTAGCTGACTGACATAGGAGTTGAAGACAGGCCACAATCGCCAGATTCAGGACAAAGTGTATGCTACAGGGGTAGATGGTCTGGCCAGATAATGACTGATGAGGCCACTGGTTGGGAATCCCTGGTCTAGTTTAAATCCCTTATTTACCAGATAAGGCCCAGAGAGGAGAAGCAACCAACTCATAGTCACACAGCAAATTCATTTTCTACTTTCTATCACCCTGTGGTGTCAAGGCCCGCAACAAGCTCAGGGTCAAAGTTGAAAAAGTGTTAGAGACCCTTGGCCATAGGTGCCAAGGGCTGCTGTCACCACCCAGGGAGCCCTTACCTTTTCTCTCACAGCTGGCAGTAAAGCATTGAAGCAGGTGGCCAGAAAGACACCGCCTCCAAAGGTGTTGCAGAGAGAGAGGATCTTTTTCGAGCGGTGGGCCTTCTCAAAATCTGTCTCGATGATCTTCACAGGGAGCAAGGAACCCAGCAGCATGAAGAAGAACACGCCCACCATGCAAAGGATTTTGGCCACCAACAGCTTCACCATGGTGGCGGCCTGGGCTGCTGCAGTCACTGCAGGGCCAAACCACGTGCAGGTGCACACTCCTGCTCCTCGATGTGCTACCAGGGCCTCATGCCTCAGTCCAGCCACTGTAAATGCCAGGAGCAACTACATCAGCTGTTGAAATATCTGACCAGCTCTAGTGACCAAGCCCATCCACCCCATGATTTCACCCCATTCTGGGCCTGGCACAGATCCCCACCTCATGCAGAACATTCTCCATGGCTGCGTGTCTAATATGGCAGTCATTGGGGTGTCTATTTATGTCAATGAAAATTAAATAAAATGTAAAATTCAGCACTTCAGTTGCACTATCTGTGCTTGGTAGCCATGTGAGTCTAGGAGCCACCGTATTGACAGAGAACATTTCCATCATTGCAGAATGTTCTAACAAGTGGTGGTGTTCCGTGGGTTTCCCACTGCGCTCACATAAAACCCAAATGCTTTACCCTGAAGCTAAGGCTCTGGGCCATTGCCTCCTGCTTCCCTTCATCCCACTCTGGCCTTTGTGGTCCCTGAATGTGCCAAGCCCGTTCCCACTTCAGGGCCTTTGCTGCGAGTTGTTTTCTTGGCCTGGAACACTTCTCTCCCTGACCTTCCAATGACATCTCGTCTTTCATGTCACTGCCTCCAGGACCCCTCAGAAGGGTCTCCCCTGGCCGACCCTTGCCCTAAACTGTATCTTCCGTACCCACCGGGAAGCCTGGCACAGAAGAGATGCTCAGTAATGGCTGAGTGAACAATGGCTGAAGCATGTAGTCCTCTTTACATGACTCAATGAGCCAAAGTGGAACAGACTTCACCCTGGACCTGAAAATGTCACCGTTAGTATGAGGGACCTTGGCTGCTCCCCTGTCCTCACGTTCTCCCCCCTCCCCCTACCCCCAGCTTCCCAGTTCTCACCTCCCACGCCCCCACTTCAGTGAGCTCTTCAGGTCTCAGCTCAAATGCCACCAGTCAGAGGCCTCTCCCAGCCCCTTCCCTGCCATTTTTCTGGCATTATTTGTGCTATGGGGAACTACATAATTTAAAGCCCTAAAATATCCTCTTTTGTTATAGGCTGCGACCTCTGCGGGGGCAGGGAATCTCTTTCCTAGCCCCTAACCAGGTACACAGTAGACGCCCAATAAATATTTGCTGTATGTCCATACACCCCAGACTGTAGTGTGGAGGTGAGACTGGCCTGGCCGCTCTGAACCCGGGGGTTAATGGGGCTGGGCGGAGGAGGGTAGGGCTCATTCATTCCTTTATTTATTCATCCAGCACTTAATGAGCGCCTTCTGTGTGTCCCGCGCGGCAGCGGACGCCCCGCGAGGTCGAGGACAACCTGGCCCCACCAGAGAGGGGACAACTCGCGCTCTGCTGGGGAAACCAGACGTAAATCACACAGATCTCACCGATAAAGGTGAAGCCAGGGCGGACGCCGCGGCCGAGCCTGGACCATGGGCGGCAGAGTCCGCCAGGCCCCGGGCCGCCCCGCCGTCGCCCCCAGGTCCCGACCGGGCCCCGGGCCCGGCCCTCATGTACCTCCGCCGGGCTCCTTGCCCGCCCACCAGCGCTGTCCGCCGCTAAACCGCCGCGCGGTCTCGACCCTACATCAGCTTTCCGGTCCGAGCGCTAGCTCGGCGCGCCGCTACCCACGTCCTGCCCACGCCCCTGCCTATTGGTCTCCCCAAGCGCCGCGGGCCCAGCGCGCCATTTCATTGGCTGTTGCCGGTGCCACTCATCCTGCGACTTCGCCTCTCCTACCGGCAAGCGAAAGTAGTTTCCTCCTGCTAAGCGATAGGTACAGCCACCCGACGGCTCCGGAGGGAAACTCCAACCTTAGTGGAAGGGTTCCCGCAAGGTTTGCCTTCCAGAGCTGTCCAGGGGCGCCTGGTGCTGAATCCCGCTCGGATGGAGGCTTGGCAACCTCCATCCCATTCACAGGGAACCATATCCAATGGGAGACTGTCCCTCTCCGAGCGTCCTTGCTACTGATTCCTAGAGCTTATGTTCTAGGAAAAGGCACGGAAAATAATGGATAAATATAATAAGTAGTGAAATTATGTCAGAAGATGACAAGTGCTGTGGAATAATTGAGCTTAGTAAGGGTGGTGGGTTTCTATTTTAAATAAGATACCTTCATAGACCTTATTAGAAAGAGATTTAAGCAAAAACTTGAACATGCATAAGGTAGTCAGGTGGATATATGGAGGCAAAGCGTTCAGCACAAAAAGAACTGAGAGTACAAAAGTCCTAAGGCAGGAGTGTACAAGAATACCAGTGTGACCAAAACACAGTGAGGTCAGGAAGTGTATTTAGAGATAAGGGGAGGCCTTAGAGGGTGTTGAAAGGACTTTGAAGGAAATGGGGATCCACTTCAGAATTTTGATCAGAGGTGTGACAGATCCAACGTATTTTAACAGAATCATTTGGTTATTGTGTCAATGCTGCCGATAGGTCAAGTAAGATGAAGACTGAAAATTGATTATTGATATTTTTGGTTGGGAGAAGGGATCACTGAAAAAAATAGCTTTCTCTACTGCCTTATAAAAGCATCCAGACTTATGAAGGAGAAAACTATTAATTTGTTAACTAAAATCTTATTGTCACATTACCATGAGCCAGGCATGGGGTAGAGATGCTAAGAATAATGTGGAGAACGCTACAACATGGATGAACCTTGAAGACATTATGCTCAGTGAAGTAAGCCAATCACAAAAAGACAAATACTGCATGATTCCACTTATAGGAGGTCCCTAGAGAAGTCAAATTCATAGAGACAGAGAGTAGATGGTGAAGGTCAGGGGCTGGGGAAGGGGGTAGGAGTTAGTGTTAAAAGGGGCAGAGTTTCAGTTTGGTAAGATGAGAAAGTTATGGAGATGAATGGTGGGGACAGCTGCATGACAGTGTGAATGTGCTTAATGCCACTGAGCTATTTGTTTAAAAATTGTTGAAATGGTAAATTTAATGTTGCTATTTCACCACAATTTAAAAAAACTTTAATACAATGAAATAAAAAAACAAAATCCATGTGCTGACATTTCACAGCCTAGTGGGAGAGATAAGTATTAATGAAATGATATACTGTGGTAGGTAGACTTTAAGATGATTCTAAATGACCCCACATCCTCATATTCATACCCTGGTGTCACTCCTCCTTGAATGTGGGCCCTACCTGGTGACTTAATTTTAACAAACAGAATATGGCAAAGTGATGGGATGTCATGACTGCTGTCTCGCTAGCATGACTCTCTCTATTGTCTTTTCAGCTTGCATGCTTTGATGAAGCAAGCTGAGATGTTGGAGAAGTCCACGTGGCAAGGAACTGAGGGTGATCTCCCACCAATAGTCAGCAAGGGACTGAGACCTTTGGTATAAGATGCTGTAAGGAGCTGAATCCTGCCAACTATCCCATGAGTGATCTTGGAAGGAGGTCTTACCCCAGTTGGGCCTTCAGATGACTGCTGCCCAGCGGACACCTGGATTGCAGCCCTTCAGAGACCCTGAACATGAGGACCCAGCTAAGTGCACCTGAGTTCTTGATCCACAGAAACCTGTGAGATTATAAATGTTGTTGCAAGCCACTCAGTTTTGGGGTAATTTGTTATGCAACAAATGATAGTTAATATACACAAGTAAAGGAAAAAACTACAGGTTGTATTAAGTGCTATGCAAAAAAGAAAAGAAAGAAAAAGAGGGCTCTATGTGCAAATTAACCAAGTAAAGAGTGGTGAGAAATGGGAGACAGAGAGGGCATTTGATTTAACAGTAAGAAAGAGTTGGCAGTGTTTGAGAAACTGGAGATCCAGGCCAGCTGAACGTCAGTGAGCAATGGGAAGATGAGAGATTGTGACAGTCCTATGAACCATATTAGGAAATTTGAATCTTACCAGAAATGCAAGCTGACTCACTGAAGGGTTTTAAGCAAGTGACGGTTTTGATCCAATTTCTGTTTTAAGGTTATTCTGATTCCTGTGTAAAGAAAGGCTGAACTATAGGGGAGCCAGAGTGGAAGAAGGGAGACTAGTTAAGAGTCATTAGGTCAAGAACTGAAGCTAGTTTAGATGAGGGCATGGACAAGGGTGATGGAGGGAGTTGGATAAATTTGAGAAATATCTTGGAGGGTGAATTGACAGGACTTGGCACTGGTTTGTCTGGGTGGGTTGCAGGGGGAGGAGGTGTTGGGGATGACTGCTGGTGTTGTTCACTAAAATAGGAAAGACTGGAGGAGGCACAGAGATTGGAGGTGTCAAAAGACTGAGTTTGGTTTGGCAGAGGTTAAGCATGAGATGTCTATGACTTCTTAATATTGAACACCAGCTTCTGCCTGCTTCATGAGAAGCACACAATAGGTGGTGGCTTTTTTTATTACTATTAGACACAAAGTCACTTGACTTCTTTTTCTGGTTTCCATAATTCACCATGACAACAATAAAATGATCACTTGTAGTAATAGCACACCACGTCAATGCTCACAGGATGACTCCTTCCTGTAGAAGAATTCATCATGTGCAGTACTTTATTATTATTTTATTAATTACTTTCAGGTGTACAGAACAACATAGTGATTAGACATTTATATACCTCACAAAATGATAACCTCAACATCACATGCAGTATTTATTTACAATTAGAGACTGAGGCTGCTCAGAGGAGCTGCATAAGCTTTGGGCTTTTATTCTTTTGAGACATGTTTTTGAAAGCATCCTAGCCTCTAGGACTTGCCTATGGACAAGTATGATAAAAAAAAATACTGAGGAATTTGATGACGTTGAATATTTTAAAAATCTTCCATAGTGAAAGACACAATGAATGGGCTTAAGAGACAAGTGACAGACCAGGAGGAAATGTTGATAATAGATGACACAGAGCTCTTGATAGAGAACAAACATCCTAAAATAAAAATGGGAAGGGAGATGAACAGACAATTCATGGGAGAACAAACATAAGCAGTGAATAACTATAAGAAAGTATGCTCAATCCATACAGATAATCAAAGAAATATGAAATAAAACAATTTTAACAGCTTTATTGAGGTCTATCTGACATACGATGAACTACACATATTTAAAGTATACAATTTGATAAGTGTTGACATATGTATATACCCATGGAACCATCCTGACAATCAAGATAGTGCAATGGAGCCGGCCGAGTGGCATGTTGGTTAAGAGCTGGCTTGGGACGCCCACTCTGAGCAGCAGGGTCCCGGTTCGGATCCCACATTAGGGCCAGTGACCCTGCGCCCTCTACAGCTAAGATGGTGAACAACAGCTTGACCTGGAGCTGGGCTGCCAGGAGTTGCCAGTGACAGCGTAGGCTGCAGTGGGCGGCCGTAAGCTACCGTGAATGACTGGCAGCCAGCATGAACGACCTGCAGCCTGTGTGAGCTGCCAAAAGTGAGCGGCCGTCCAGTGTCCGGTGACCAATCAATCTGCCTCACCTGGGAAGAGCACAATGATAATACCAACATGGGCAGTGAAGCAACGTCCTCCACAACTAGACTGAAAACAAAAGGGCAGCAACTTGTCTGTTCCCCTTCCCTGATTGCCCAACGCTGTTCTCCTCCCCCAATTCCCCATTAAAATCTTAAAAAAAAAGATAGTGCAATGACCTACATCCCCCCAAAATTTCCTCCTGCTCCTGCTCTACCCCCGACTTCCCAGCAGCCACCATTCTGCCACAGTTACTCTTTAGGATAGTTTCCGGTGTTGGCTGTTGCTAACAATACTGCTGAACAGTCCTCGGCCCAACTTTGGGTGGCCATTCATATATGTTGCTGTCAGGCATACATCCGCAGGTAGAATTGTACATCCGGGGATCCTAGGGTATGCCAGCATTCAGCTTTAAAACTTAATGTGCAGCTGACTTTTCCCTTAGGTGCAGCAAAGAGTTAACATAGCAGGCCTAACATCTGTCCTTGGAAAGGCCACTTTGCAAGGGTGGCCCTCGGTGGCATCTGGAACTGGGCTCCAGGGGCTCCTGCCACACTCGCTGACAGGGGAGCTCCCTGGCCCTAAACAGTCTGTGCAAACACGTGGTTCACGCTGATCACCCTGCTCTCTTCCTGCAGTCTGGGATCTCGTATGTGCCAGGCCCCTGGTGAGAACCCTGAGTGCTGGATCTCTGTGAGCTTCTTGGGGACTGCACCTTACACACACTGTCACATCTTGTTTTGGGGAGGAATTAAGTGCACTCTGGTGATCCCACCAGAAGAAGACTCAAGGTTTGCGCTGGCCTCGCCCCGTGTGCCTTTTCCCTCGGCTCATCCTGTCTCTGTACAAACCCCGACCATGAGGACCACCATTCCTGGGGTCCTCCCTGCAAATCCCACACCTAGGGTGGTCCTGGGGAGCCTGACACATTTTTTAAATTAACAG